AACACTGGAAAGAAGAAGGGTGGATTCTGAAAGATCATCAGGAGACACTGGGAAATCAAGACATGATGGAGGACAGGTAAAACCTGGAGCCACGTGACAAAATATAAATTAATAGAAATGGATTAATTTAAGTTATAAGAGCTAGGTAGTAATAAGTATGAACATTTATACCATATACTAAGTCTCCATGTCGGTTATTTGGGAACTGGTAGGTAGAAAAGAAAAGTCTGCCTACATGGCATCATGAATTGGAATTTAAGGGCACACAATTGGAACCTCTAAGAGGAAGTAGAAATTACAAAATAGGAATGAAGTGGATCTTTAAACTCCTAAAGTCAATCTTCAGTGACATACTTCCTTCCAAAGACCAAACTTCCAAAGCCTCCTCAAATATCACCACCAACTCAGAACAAGTATCCAAATGCCCTGAACAATGGGCATCTCTCACTCAAGCCAACTCTTACTTTTTGGAATTTCTAAGACTCCTTCCCCTTAAAGGAGTTTATACTAGTTTCTTACATTTCATTACATAGGTAATAGGGAGATGATAGATAAATGGATTTATAGATGATTGATAGATAGATAATTGAGGATAGATAGATACATGTATACAGAGAATTAGCAAATAGATTATTATGTAAATATGTAGACAGAGAGATAGAGAGTAGATAGATGAGAAATAGATGATAGATAGATGATAGATAGATAGATAGATAGATAGATAGATAGATAGATAGATAGACAGATAGATGGATAGATAGATAGGTGTTAGACATAGGTAGGTAGATGACATATGGGTAGACAAACAGATGATAAATAGAGACATATAGAGATAGATTATATATTTCCTACAAATAGGTACTTTGTACCCAATAAACAATATTATTAGCATATCCACTATTATTCCAACTCTAGCTGCCATAATTTTTTTTATTATGAAGCTGAATTCTTTTAGTCCATATGTGCTTTTGAGACTGTGAAGTATTTTTATACTTGTGCATAGTACATTTCATATAACATAATGCCCTCTAGGATCATTAATTTTGTTTCAATAACATAGTTTCATACTCTAAGACTACATAACATTTTATCACATAGATATATACATGCATAAATTTACATATGCACTCACAAATACTCAAACACATATGTACAAAATTATTTATCAATTTTTTATCAATTTATCCATTGATACATATTTATGTAGACTTCATATGCTGTCTGTCATGAATAGTACAAAATTATCAGTGCATATGACATCTTTTCACCATACTGGCTTTGTTTCTGTATGTGTAGCTATAGTAGTGTGATTATTAAATAACAAGGTACTTGTTTTATTTTATAATCTGAAGAATTTCCATGCTGTTTTCCCTAACAGCTATACTATCTTCTCTCACCATTAATCTAGTATAAGTGTACCCTTCTTTGTAATTTCCTATCTTCAGCTTGAACTTTTAAACTCACTAAAATTACAGGGCAAAACTCAATATAAACAAAATGCCCCTATATATCCATAATGACCTATATGAAAAAGAAGCCAAGATGTATCATTTACATCATCTACAAACAGCATCCCAAAAAGAATAAATTTAACCAGAAAGGTCAAGAAAACTGTGGGACATAAATGAATGAAACTTAAGAAGACACAGATAAATTTAATGATACAATATCCATGTAAGTTCAACATTTACTCAAACCTAAAATTAATGTTCTGGTTAAATGTCTTCCCTATCTTCATCAGACAGTGTTAGTGAATCGAGTCCCTGTACTCTTACTGTTTTGTAGAAACTTTCAGAATGATCATTTTACTGAATTATATGGTTTATATTCATATAGACGTCTGCTACTGTCATTTTGCTGAATCCTGAGTCCCCTGAAAGCTAAGGGTATCTCATCATCTTTCTATATTAGGAGCCTACCAATGTAATAGTTAAAGAAAAAGTGTGCAACAAATGTAATTTTAATGGAATTTAATTAAAAAGGTAGCTTAATGATTTAAAGAAAATTAGAGCATAAAAATGTCATTAAACTAAACAACCTTTAATATCCCTTCTACTTCTGAAATAGTCAAATGGTATTTTGATAGCAGAGTTCCGATTTTGAAGTTACCACTTTAAAAGACATTTCTAATATAGAGATAGATATTTGGCCAAGTTCTTAGAAAAAAGTCTTCAAGAATTACAAGTTATTTTAGCCCTTTTTTTCATAGTAACCAAAAGTTATATTGATGGATTTATTTAGTTATACATAGCAAAATTCAAATGCAGTGATAGGGATATGCTTGCTTAGCCTTTCGAATGAATACAATTACAACATTCTTTTCTTTCAATAAAGAGAAACAAAAATCAGATTTAAAAACTACACATTGGAAAGTGATGGGTAGAACATAGATATTTAGTTTAGGATGTCATAGCAAACTTTTTTTGTGCCTTTAGTCCCAAACTAAAATGAATTTTGCCTCCTGGTAATAGCAACCCCTTAGAATTAACATAAAGCAATGTACATTTACAACTACTATAATCATTTCCTACAAATTCATTCCATCCTGGAGTGCCAAGAGAAGTTCAGATGACTCAGGAAGTAAAAGACATTTGTTTACAAGGCCTGGGAAGGTCTGCAACTGGTAAGATTTACATGGTCCCTCCCAACAGTGATGAAAAGGCAGCGAAGAGTTGCAATGGAATTGTATGTAAGTTGTCCAAGGATCTCCAGGTATACAGCTTCTGTGAATCAACACACACGATTGAAAGGTAGACTTTCCTGTAAGTAACACAATAAAGTCATTATGGGTTCACCATGCTAGGCTTTCATGGAATTGTTGCTTAGATCTATTGTTTTCTTCAGCTCCATCTGAGATTAATACTTTTGATTGGATCTCTTTTTGGAAAAGTCACATAGCAGCATGTAATGTACCCTGAAGTATACTTGACAATAACTTTATTATTAGTAAGAATATTTAGAACTTAATCCACACATAAAAAGTTCTTTCTTCTTTTTCCCCAATATGCTCATTATCACTGATTTTATTATGATTTTACTATGCAAAATGCACTGGATATTTATTTAGATGAGCCTAAACAAATAAAACAATGATCAAACAAAATAATGCAGTCAATTCAGTTAGGATTCATAGATAATATGTACTTCAATTCACCCAAAAATATTTCCTGTGAGGTAGCACCAAAATCATTGTTCATGTCAAGAGAGATTGCTCTTACTTCATCCCCTTGATCAATCAAGTTTGGATTTGTTTGAAACGACTTGAACTTTACAAAGCCATTGCCATTTTTAACTAATTCCAGGGGTAAATTACTTCTATAAAATAGACTGGAGTAATTCCCCTGTTGACTGGCCAGGAGGCAAACTTGCTGGCAGAAGCAGCCACTTACTACACCTTCCACCAAAGGAAATTACAGAAAGTGCCAGTTATTCTCCAGGTCAGTAAGCAAATGAACAATCACTCTCAGCTGTAATTCTGCCCTTCAAAGTAACCTTTTCTCGTCTAGGTGCTGGGAAGTTGATTTTATAACACATTTTTAAAATTATCTTTAGAGTGAAAGACTTAATAAAGGGATCAGTAATTTCAAGGGTTATATTGTGTCTCATTTCTAAGTGTGGGCACATTTGAGAATCAAAATATTTAACATATCTGTAAGTACATATTTAAGCAAGTTAGTTGTTTTAACATGGACATGTTTTATGATTATCTTTCAGGATTATTAATATTACTTTAGTTTTTGTAATTTTAGCTGTTTTTGTCTATACAACTGTATTTTTTCCTAATAAAGAAATTAATTTATTCTTTAGTATCTGGCTGACAAGACTGAGATACAATCAGTAGACAACAATTGTTACCTATAGAAGGAAAGATGTTAATGTGAATTGTTTAGGAAAAAGTCGAAAACATAAATTCTTAGTTGAAACAGACACTGACTGTAAATGCATATGCATAACAGAAAACCATGTGGAGGTTTTTATCATGTATATTTTATATGCACATGGAAGACACTCAGGGATTGCATTGAATTTCAACCTATATAGCATATTTTTTTCTTAACATGCTAATCTGAGATAACACATTCACTTTTATTTAAGACATTATATGAAGAGAAAAACTCTTAAAGCTATGGATTTGGTGCCATAAATTGTCCTTGATTTTGAGTTTTCACCAAAACTTGTCTTTTTCACCTTTCTTTCCTCTCTTTGCTGTGAGAAACCATTGAAATCAAACAATTACTTGACTTGAAGACCACTGACATTGGCTGAGTTCTGAAAATGCCATAAGCAAGATGAAAGAAATGTCTTTACTTCATATAGAAAGCTTAATGTATTATAGTGTGTATTTTTTAGGTTTGTTTGGTGCTGTGGATATCGTTCTATATTAATAAAACACTGATGGCCAGTGACCAGGCAGGAAGTAGGTGGCCAGGCAGGAAGTAGGTGGGACAAGGAGAGAGGAGAATTCTGGGAAGCGGAAGGCTGAGAGGAGAGACACTGCAGCCACCGGCAGGACAAGCAGCATGTGAAGACGCCGGTAAGCCACCAGCCACGTGGCAAGGTATAGATTTATAGAAATGGGTTAATTTAAGATAAAAGAACAGTTAGCAGAAAGCCTGCCACGGCCATACAGTTTATAAGTGATATAATCGTCTGAGTGATTATTTTATAAGTGGATTGTGGGACTGCGGGGCTTGGGGAACCTGGAGAGAAGCCCTCCGGCAACAGTTTGGTCACTGTTTTATTATATGATCCTGTCTAATAGTTTAAATTTTGTTTCCAAATGCCTTTTGCTTGATGGTTTTAGTGGTTTGTTCTCCATCACTCACAAAGAACATGATTAAAAACAAGAGAATGGGGAAAATAGGAACCTGGGAATAGCTGTTGAAACCAAACCATGGCCTTATCAAATCAGCACTAAAGAAGTCTATTTCCAGGAAGGCAGGCTGCTTCTTGCATTCAGTTTTCAAAGGGTTATTTTCATGAATTAAAAACTATCACGGCACCGCCGCGGCTGCTGCCGCCGCCGCCATCGCCATGAAGCTGACCGACAGCGTGCTGAGGAGCTTCCACGTCGCGAAGGTGTTCCGCGAGAACTCGGACAAGATCAACCTCTTTGACTTCAGCCCCAATGGGGAGACCGTCATCTCCAGCAGCGACGATGACTCCATCGTGCTTTATGACTGCCAGGAAGGCAAACCAAAGAGAACCCTGTACAGTAAGAAATACGGTGTGGACCTCATCAGATACACTCAAACAGCCAACACGGTTGTTTACAGCTCTAACAAAATAGACGACACTATCCGTTACTTGTCGTTGCATGACAACAAATACATCAGATATTTCCCTGGACACAGCAAAAGGGTGGTGGCCTTGTCCATGTCACCTGTGGATGACACTTTCATTTCTGGGTCTCTTGATAAGACCATTCGACTCTGGGATCTCCGGTCTCCTAACTGCCAGGGCCTCATGCATCTACAGGGCAAACCAGTTTGCTCCTTTGATCCAAAAGGGTTAATTTTTGCCACAGGTGTCAACTCAGAAATGGTCAAACTTTATGACCTTCGTTCTTTTGATAAGGGACCGTTTGCAACCTTTAAGATGCAGTATGATTGGACTTGTGAGTGGACAGGACTTAAGTTCAGCAATGATGGCAAACTCATACTCATTTCCACCAACGGCAGCTTCATCCGGCAGCTTCATCCGTCTTATTGATGCTTTCAAGGGTGTGGTGATGCACACATTTGGGGGTTATGCTAACAGCAAAGCTGTTACACTCGAAGCTTCATTTACCCCAGATTCACAGTTTATTATGATTGGTTCAGAAGATGGCAAGATCCACGTCTGGAATGGAGAGAGTGGTATAAAAGTAGCTGTATTGGATGGTAAACACACGGGTCCCATTATCTGTTTGCAGTTCAACCCCAAGTTCATGACCTTTGCCAGCGCCTGTTCTAACATGGCCTTCTGGTTGCCCACCATTGATGACTGATCCTGACACTGCTCGGCTATTTGTACAGTGAGGGCATCCAACAGGAAAAAGTCAGAGGTGACTGAGATGACAGTGGGATTGACTGGATCATTTGACTGGACTGGAGAACATCTTTCCACATGGCCTTCCCAGGGATGTGCTGTCCATCTGCCCTAAAGAAATACTTCGCTGAGCGCCTTCCAAAGGACTCATGGTGCTGCAGATTCAGTTGGCACTCAGCCTTTCCAGCTCTCAGCGCACCAAGCTCTTCAGAGGGTGACTGCTTATGATTAGGTTACAGTGGGGCCCTTGAGCCCCTTCAATGTTGAATATAGTTGCTGCTGAAGAGCCGGTGACGTCACCAATTGCCGCACATCCTTCTCCCACCCCAGAAATGCATGGGAAGCCACAGTTCTGGTTTTGAGATGCTAGGGCAGCTCAGCACCTCTTGCCCTCACCCTGCATGTCTTGTTACTGGGTCTCCCTGTGTAATTGTGGCATTATTCCACAACCATCATGTTTCTTAGGTGCCAAACATTTACAAAAATAAGTCTTCATATAACTTGGGGTCAAAGAAAGGGACAAAGAGAGAAGGACCTTGTTTGTCAGGAGGCTTTACAGTATTCCTGTGTTGGTGGGTGGGGCAGGTCGTGGGCTTGGATGTTGGCTAGCAAACAAGGCCCAAGCGTCTGAAAGGGAGGGAAGGGAGTAGCAGGTAAATTCTGAGAGCTGAAAGGTTTAACAGCCTGGTGCAATTCCCCCATCAAGACAGCCCCACAGTCTTCGTGGGGATCCTACCGAGCTTGGCTTGTACAAAAGCAAGGTAGTAGTTTATTTTTGTACCTGAGTCACATCACGTTTTCCTGTGGGCCAGTATTGTGGAATGAGTCTGAGTTGTTTACACTGATGCCTTCCTTCCCTGCCCACCGCGAATTGTGTACGTAGTCAGCAGATGATACCCCTCTTCCCCAGCTCTTCCCCAAGAGCTGGCTCTAGGCCTGTGTTATATGTTATATTTAGCCTTTTTATATATGACCCTTGATCTGTTTGTATTTGAGCACAGTGTGCATGTCCAATTAAATTCTCTCTCATCTAGTTTATCAGGAATTCAGCAGGAGAGGGAACCCTGCAGCTGAGAAAGACTCTTTGTGGGTAGTGTTTGCCACAAGTGTTAGTCTTCTCTGTTAACCTTCGGGAGACAACGTGAAGCAGAGCTTCTAGTGTTTGCTGTTTTCATGGCAGCTAAGTAAGAGCCTTGGGATAACTCCCTTGTGCTCTTCAAGCCGCACTTCGGGGCCCTCTCTACAGTATTAGACTCTTTTTTTTGCCTGATTATGCTCTGTCTGCACCTGTATATGTGTGACGGTCCCTTCTGCATGGCTTCTGTGCCTGGCTTGTGGCATTGGGGACAGGGTGCTAGAACCAGTGTTTTAGTTTGTCAGGACTCCTCCTCCTCCTCTGTTGCGTCGGCATCCTTGCCATTTTCCTTGCTTTCTCCTGAGAGAAGGGTAGGACCAGACTGAGAAGGCTGGAGCTGACCTTTTCTTCCCAGTATGGCCACCTCAGAGGAGAACAAATGGTAGTCAGACATTTACATAAGTGAGCAGTACCCCTGCAGCTCCAGGAATCAAGACCCAACAGGCTGATTTGCCCATGAGTACCCCGCTGCGAGGGCGTTGGTCAAGCCACCACTGCTTCTGTTCAGAAGCAGGCATGGGCTTCGCATCGCTAATGCTATTTTTTAAGCAATTACTTTTTGACTTGTTATTCCAACTGAAAAGGTGGCCACCTTCACTGAAGTCTCTTAAGTGTTGCTGAGCAGTCCTGCCTTCCCAGAGTGGACAGACTATAGGAATCAGGTGATTGGAGATGTTACTGCCTACCTTCAGGATCTAAGAGTCCATGTTTGGAGGAACTATTGAGAGCGAAGGTCTGTAACTCTGGACTAGAAAGGCTGCATAACCTGAAAGTAGAGTGGCTTGCCTGGTCACAGAGAAACTAAGTTCATGAGTGTCCAAAGCTGAGGCACCATGCTCTTGGAAGACATACTGCCTCACAGCCTCTGCTGGGCCCTGTGGCAGCAGAGCTGAGTTCTGGATTGGGAGGGAAAGATTCAGCTGGAACTTAGGATTCTGTATGTGGTCACAGGGTAAGCAAGAGGGAGAAAGCAATGGCAGTCTGGGGGTGTGTCCCTGGGATGTACTCACTGTCCTCTGAATGTCAGCCAGAGCCACTGCTCTGTGTGACAGCTGACACTACACTGTTCAACCACCAGCCACTGGGTTTTTTTTTTTAATGAATTATTCCCCGTTGTAACTGACAACTACTGCTTATGAAGGAAAACTGGGGGATTTTTAAGAACCAATTGGCCACCCAAATGGTACCACTGTTAATTTTGATGTTAAATGTTCCTCTAGATATCTCTGTGCATAGACTTTGGTGTGTTTACATAGTTGTTATCCTACTGTACATACAATTTTATGTCCCTTTTGTACTTAACATAAACTTTTTTTTGCCATGTTACCAGTCTTAAACAGAAAAAAAAAAAACTATCACAAGGTACAATGAATATAAGATTACTTTTACTTTATAATGTTTTTTGAGAAAAGGCTCAGTTTAGTTGGACAGACATGCCTTCAGAGAAGCTAGGAAACAAGGAGGACCCTAAGAGGGGTGTACAGATCACCTTGGAAAGAGGAAGTGGAGGAGATCTCCATGAATAAACTGGGAAATAGGGAATAGGGGCGACAATGGAGGGGAGGAGATGGGGTGTGAGAACACGAGGGAAAGGGATGGTCGAGCTTGGGGAGGGGTGGAGTGGGAGAGCAGTGAAAGAGATATCTTGATAGATGGAGACATTATGGTGTTAGGGAGAAACCTGGTGCTAGGGAAATTCCAAGAAATCCACAAGGACGAACCTAGATTAGACTACTAGCAATAGTGGTGAGGATGCCTGAACTGGCCTACCCTGGTAATCAGGTTGGTGAATATCCCAACTGTCATCATACAGCCTTCATCCAGTAACTTATGGAAGCAGATGCAGAGATCCACAACCAAGTGCCAGGCCAGTTGAAAGTCCAGCTGAAGAGATAGAAAAGGGATTATATGAGCAAGGGTTTAAGATCATTATGGGGAAAATCCACAGAGATAACTGAACCAAGCTCAAAGGAACTCACCAACTTTAGACTGACAGCTGTAGAACCTGCATGGGATTGGACTAGAGCCTCTGCACACAGGAGACAGTTGTGTAACTGGATTGTTTGAGGGGCCCCTTGCAGTGTGATCAGGATCTATCCCTGGTGCATGAGCTGGTTTTCTGGATCCCATTACCTATGGTCAGACACATTGCTCACATTGATGCATCAGGGAGGGGCTTGGTCCTGCATCACCTGAATGTACCAGGCTTAGCTGTCACCCTATGGGAGATCTTACCCTGTTGGAGGAGGGGATAAGGGTGGTCATGGATGGGAGAAAGGTGGGGATGGTAGGAGCAGGTAGAGAGATGAGAGGGGGATCTGTGGTTGATATGTAAAATGAATTAAGAAAAGAAAAAAGTAGAAAGAGGTTGTAAACAGTGATAATGAAATGATTGACAAGGCATATCGAAATATTAAAGCTTGCCGGGTGGTGGCAGCACTTACCTTTAATCCCAGCACTTGGGAGGCAGAGGCAGGTCGATCTCTATGAATGAGTTCGATGCCAGCCTGGGCCACAGAGTGAGTTCCAGGAAAGGTGAAAAGCTACACAGAGAAATTCTGTCTCGAAAAACAAACAAACAAAAAAGAAATATTAAAGCTTGTTATAGATTCAATGATTTACTAGGTAAAAAGGTTAGGAGAAATAATCTAAACTTAAAGAAAACAGTGCATATATAACATATTTAAGGAAGATCAAAGAATAAAGAAGATACAAAGACAAAGAAAGGTGATTTTGACAAATACAGACAGAAAAAATTAGAAAATCCTGTTAAAATTACTCCTTGGACATTTCGCTAGGTGTTTCAATAAGACAGAGTGTCAGAAAGCCTATTAATTTGCATTTGCATTCCCAAGTAGAGAAAGAAAAGAAGACACTGCTGTGGTCCCCAAAGCCCAGTGGGGCAAACAACTGGAGAGTAATTGTGGACTGTACTACTGTGACTTTGGAGCCTACAGAATTCAGAGAGGCACACATGGTACTATTATGGTGTTAATGGGAATGTCCACCTGGGCTATTTTTCAAAGCTTGGTCCTGGTCCAGGCTAGATGAACTCTATAATAACTATAGTTTGTCATCTGGAGGGTAGACATCTTTGCACAGCTTCAATGTGCATTGTGGACTTGCACTTTGTTAATCTCAGAACTGTCCTTGGAACACTCTGTAATAACACCAACCTCATGGTACTCCTAGCTACCTCATAGGTAGAAGCTTCTGGTGGTTTTTCAGTACCTTTGCCTTGTTCCAAAGCCTATCCAGAGCATCCTTGAAATTCTACATGGGGTATCTATCCCTGCCGAGCTTGTCCATTCTAAAATTCTATTGAGTTGTCCCAACATAGATAATACCAAGGCCCCTGTGTATATCTCTTAGAACCCATGGCACAGGAGCCTGCTTGTACTATACAAGGTGTGAGAAAGAAAGAAAGAAAGAAAGAAAGAAAGAAAGAAAGAAAGAAAGAAAGGAAGGAAGGAAGGAAGGAAGGAAGGAAGGAAGGAAGGAAGGAAGGAAGGAAGGAAGAAAATGCTAAAGCTAAAAACTGAGGGAATTTGGGTATCATCTTGAAAATCATTCTGTTCCTCCTTTCTCTGGCATACTGAGCCCCATATAGATCTGAAATGCCTTTTGAGTTACTGTTTTCATGAATTCACTCAAACTTCCTTCCATCCATTCTAATCCTCTTATCAAACATTTATTCAGTCACAATCTTGCTATGTTTTCCTGAACATATCTCTCATTCTTTATAATCTAGCTTGGCTGAAAAACTCTCAACTTTTAAGTTATGCTTACTTTTAGTTTTAAGTTGTCATTAATTTGGTTTCTTTCCTGGCTCAGGGCCAGGCGTGGGAAACCTCTTCTCCAGTTGTTGATCATGGGCATATGAGAAACTTCCAAAACAATCGGGGTTACTGACATTGCCTTTGATTGCCTTCCAGAATTTCTGAAGGAACCACACACTGGAAACAGGGATAGGATAATATGTTCCTGAAGAAATAATGTGATAAGCATGAACACAATCTTTTCCTTTTCATTTTTTAATATTCAGTGACATTTTTGAATGGGAATTAAATCATATGAAGAACAATAATATCATTACACAGGACAACTTCCACATGGCTCATTGAATGTAGAGAGAGAGGTCAAGCAGGTGTGGGCTTGGAGCCTTTACCCCTACCTTCTATTCTCTTTGCTATAGTAAGGTACTCTGCAGGGTAAGAAAATAGAAACTGAGGCCGGGCGGTGGTGGCGCATGCCTTTAATCCCAGCACTCGGGAGGCAGAGCCAGGCGGATCTCTGTGAGTTCGAGGCCAGCCTGGGCTACCAA